ACACTCCCAAAATATAGCCAGATTGGAATGCAATTTCTTGAGTCTCCCTAAGTTGCACATTCAAGAGGTCTATACAAAACCACAGTTTATAAAATTGATGTCTTTCCAATCGGTATGATATTATAAACATAACTTGGAGTCAGACTTCTCTATCTTACTACAAAATGTATCATCCAATTGGTATACTACAATAAAACATCATTGAGAACTTCTCTCTATAAAAAAAAGTCTTCTAATCTGTGAAAGAAACTTCGATTAGGTACAGAAACCATGAAAATTTCTGTATGGAGTTATGTTATGTTCAAAATCTTACTGGATGATTACAAAACCACACATTTGAGAGTGAGCATATTTCTTTATGTAGAACACATCCATACATAAAATAAAATCCATCATTCACTTCATGATGTCGATTTTCCCATGAGATGGTCATCCATTTCATTAAGAGAAAATCATCCATCCCTCTTTCAATAATTTCTGTAAAAACTCAGTGAGGGAGAGAGCCTTCTAACTTAGTCACGTTTCTTGAGAGAGAGAGAGAGAGAGAGATTGTCATAACATCTCATAAAGAAGGTGTCAGTATTACATGAAAAGCGGGTGTAAAGTTGCCACAGAGAAGGTGATGAAAACGAACCACCTCATGTAAAAACATGGAGCATAAGATGTGTGGACCAAAAGGTCTACACTATAAAAAACACTAGCAACAAATTTGAAGATAAAAGTTGTTTTGAGAAATAGCTTTTACAAAAAGCTAACAAAGGGCTTTCAGCCCAGGTCCAAATTGGCCAATTATCTCTACCAAGATGCAGAAACTGCTTAGGTGAGCAGCATTGAAAGGAATGCTGGCCTCATAAAACTATTTAGCAATGTACTATGCAGTTCTCTCTCTCTCTCTCTCTCTTCCTTCTTGATTCTATTCTCAATAGTTGTTTGCTTCTTTATTTTCTCACCTGCAACCTCAGGGTCAGGCCGAGGCAAAAAATAATCTATAGGCCCCCTAACTTGAGGTTTCTTAGGCCCCCCACCCCTAGAACCAATTACACCTCTCTTTCACTTCCCCCTAGTCTGGGATATAGCAAGCTGCTCCACCTCTTCACACCCCTCCTAATCACTATCATCATCATCAAATTGATGCGAACTCTATACCTCAGCTCTACTATGGATGCCTCTCTCCTCTTTTTTCTTTTTTACAATATTCTCTCAACACCCCCCCTCCTCCTCATTGGCTCCTCTTTGTCAATTGAAACCCTCAACCATCCCCTCTCCCTGCATCCTCCGCTCTTTCTTAACCCAGTTTTTTAACTCATACACTCAACCATGGGCCCAATTCCTAGAGACGGAGGTACCTTGCTCTGATGCTTCTTCAAAACTGGGTGCAGAGCTAGTGGTGAAGTGTTTGAGGACATTCCACCTGCTGCTCTCCCTGCCGTTGTTGACTGTGTTTTTGCTTCTTCTAGCCTCTCCTTAAGTGCTTTTCTCTTTTCTTATCAAAGGGTTTCCTGGTTTCAATAAGGCACTGTCTTTGTCTCAATTACTTCCCATGTCAATCTCATCTTCAACATCACTTTCACACCATAGCACTCTCACATCTTTTTATTTTCATTTTGCATTGATGTATTATTTTGTATTGCCTTCAAGTGGAACGCTCTAAAGGGGCAAGGGGAAAGCCCAAAAGAACATGGATGAAAGTAGTGATAAGAGATATGGTGATTTATTGTCTGACTGAGAGTATGGCCCTTTATCGAGCGGAATGGCGGAATAAGATTTGTGTAGCCGAATCTAAATAGATAGGATCATGCTCAGATGATGATGATGATAATGATTGATGCGTTATTTTTGTTCCATTGCAAACTAGATTGTATCCTGCAATCCAATGCACTATTGGTCATAACAGTTCTTTGAATCCTTAGTAATCATATGATTATTCGATTTTCTCCAGTTAACTCTTTTCTCGTTCGATTGAGTTTCTTAATCTGATATCTTGGCTGTTTTTTTTTTGTTTTTGGTTTACGCTTGGTTTGGTTCAATTTGGCTGTTACTTGGTTGATAGTTTAATAACTGAAACCATTCAAAGAATTCTGATACTCTGATTTGGAAGTTTTGTCTTGACTCCCTCAGCTGCAATGCTTATAGATCATTTGTCCGAGGAATTTTGATGAGTGTTTACAATGTTGCAGGAGTGTTACAATATTACCCTTTTGACACAATTGGATACAAACAAACTGTTGCATCATCCTAAATGAGAGAGAGAGGTTAAACACCCTGAGAACCACAATGTTGAAATGGGCTTTTGTTGTAAAAATGCATGGCACACCAATGGTGGAATAAGAATGGCTCTTTTGGGCGAAATTTTCATGGATAAAGAGCACATTACCGCTGTTATTGATGTGTGCATTCTTAGTTATATTATGATTTTGGGATCAATCATCATTATTATAAGAGCCTTTTTGCAAATATTTGGGATCGGCTACACAAATCTTGGTCTGATATTATGTTCTATCAAGGGCCATACCTTTAGTGAAGCCATAAGTCCGCATATCTTTTCCATGAATCTTGAATGTACATTATATTCTGATTCCGGGATCTATTTTTCAAGATTTGATGCCCTGTGAAAATTTGAGGCCTAGCAAGTGCGAGAGAGATAAAAATGTTACATTGTGATGATTTAATTAGAAAGGAGGAAAACAATGTTTCATGAGTTGCCTGAGCCTAATCGGACTTAGGGGAGTTACACGGACTCGCCCTATGGATGCGTTTGAGTAGTGTTGAGTTCCACGACAACTCGCCCCACTGTTCTTAAGGAGGAAAAAATACAAAAATAAAAAAAATGTAAACGTTTCTCAAAAAAAAAAAAAGTAAATGAAATTGGAAAACGCCACCATAATACCTACAATTAGTTTTCAGTATAATTTTAATAGTTTTTAAGGTGATTTGGGAACTTTTATATTTTGTTTTCCTTTTTTTAATTTTTCAAATGTATTCAAGAAATCAAACTCCGCCCCTATCCCAAACGTAGATGAGAAAGGAGGGTTATGTTAGGTTGGCAGCCAGCGGAGCACTTTTGCCACCTCCCTACTATGAATTAGTTGACTCTAATATTAGGATAAGGCTCCGATGTTGATGATAATGATGATTCAATATCTAAATAAAAACTTTCAATAATCCATCTTTATAGAGTTTTTTCGTCCTTTTAGACCTCTAATGATTTCTACTACCTCTTTTATGTTTTTTCTTATTTTTAACCTTTTAAAAATATTTACTTTTTTTTTTGCCTTTTCTTGGTTGTGCAGGACTCGGTTGAGTCCATTATGTTTGGACCTGGTTAAGTCCATGGCTCAGCCAAGGGCGGAGTCGAGTTTCTAAACAGTGGAGGAAAAATTGCCTTTTAAATTAGGGGAAATTATGTAGAAATATTCATCATCATCCAATCCTTATTCCAACTGTTTGGTGTCGGCAGAAAAATTATAAACCATCTTCTAGTTGTATCCAAACACTATCCAAACAGTATTGTCCGGCCTTCTAGAGAATTTATCTCACAAATAGATGCATCTCTAAGGATATTTATCTCTCTAACGGATGCATTTCCAGGTACCAAAATGGGCCCTTAATATCACGATTAGAATTTGTAAAGTAATTTTTTGCTTAGCCAACATTCAAAAAAAAAAAGGAAGAAAATTTGCTTAGCCAAAAGAACATTAATGTCGACACTTGTTTTTCCCTTATATTCCCATGTATAGTTATGGGGAGCACCCCTAGAGAGCATGGTTCCAGCTCCGGAATCTAGATCTCGCGCTTCGATGCCAGGATCTTGATTGGAACTTGTTCTTTTTTGAGGGAACTCGCGCCCTTTCCACGGAATCTCGATTCCTTATTCATAGGGACCTGGATCCCCCCAATCATGGTGCTCGATCCCTCTATTTGTGGATCCTGATCCCTACCATGTTGCGATCATGATCCCTAGATCCAGGGATATCGCTCCCTATATTTGTGGATCTCCATCCTTATTGGGATGTCGATCCCTATATCTGTGGATCTCCATCTTATTGTGTATTGATCCCAAACATCAAGAATTAGATTACTTAGATTGCTACGAGAGTTGTAAAATGTATAAACCATATAAATAATAGAAATAATTAAAGCATTTAACACAATGGGAAGGTAGAACCCCAGTCATTGTGCAATAGGATCTAGTTTTTCATGTGAATTGGGATTGCAATCCTTTATATCTATATGGATCAAGGACTCCAATTTATATCCATCGTGGTCCTTGGGTATTTGAGATCGAGATCCCATGAGAAGAGGGAAAGGCGATCCTTGCAGAATGGAATCCAGATCCCATGAGCATTAGGAGCGAGATTGTTTATATATGGGATCCAGCTCCGGGCTAGATGCCCTCTATGGAGCGCGATCGAAGTGCCGGAGCTCCAAATACCCTTCGATTTGATGTTCCTGCTCCTGACCCGGGAGCTGTTCCTGCTCCGGCTCTCGGTAACTATGTTCCCATCTATAGAAATATGGTAATGTAAGTTTGAATCATTTATGTAAAGAAATTAACATATTAGAACACGTTTTATGCATAAAGAATAAACAAAGAAATATTGTTTTAAAACAAAGAAAACAAATGTGCATTACAAGAAAATGAACAATAATAGATGATGACTTGTGTTGGTATTTTAGATCTTCCTTTTGTAATGACTGCTATTTTCAGAGTAGATTCCTGTTTTAAATAAGACAATGAACAATATTTTCCTCATATCTTATCTTTATTTTAACATGCATATTTGTCTCAAATAAATTGAAGTTGCTCTTTATTGTGGGAAAAAGGAACTAAACCAGCAAAATCTTTATGCTAAAGCTTAACTATGCTTTATGGCATGTAGCAATATACGGAAGTTACATCTTTTCAACTACATTTATGTCAGCCACGAAAAGATTGATACGTGTATTGTGTTAGACAGGACCACTAACGTTTTTCCATGTGATTTGGTATTTTTCTCAAGGTTGGGATCAAGGTATATTGGGAATGTGTGTGGGAGAGAAAAGGAAGCTTAAGATACCTTCAAAGCTTGGTTATGGGTCACAAGGATCTCCTCCAAAAATTCCAGGTAATGTCATCATGTTTGGGACTGTGCTATTCTTTTCCTATAAGTACTATATTCTCCATGCTTTTCAAAACGAATACATTTTTATGCTTTTAAATTTATCTGGTGATAGATTTTGGTATGGATTTGTAACATAGTTTTGGTTTGTGATAGTGTTACCCAGTGTTTAAAAAAAATGGATTGGTGGGGCGGATTATCTACCCTCGATCCCAATCGGTATGGGCGATCTGGATTGTTTTCGGATTTGTTCAGATCGCCGATTTGGTAATCTTTTTTAAGAATAGTGTTATATACAATAACTTGCCTATTTGACATCACCTAACATCCCTAACTTTTAGCTTTTTGGGCGTGCTTTGTGACCTTGTATCCAAGATCCAGCGTCCTAATCCTGTAGGCGAAGTCATTTGGACCTCATAGAAAAGTTTTTTTTTTTTTTGAAGTTTAAAATTTTGAACCTCTCAAAATATGAGTTTTTATAAAAAGGAAGTGCGTTGGGGGAGCTTTGAACCACTGACGTCACACTACTTCTTTGTCCTTGCTACAATGTAAGCCTTTCAAGTGGTTTGAAACACTGTTGGAAAACCGGGCGATCTAACCGCTAACGGCCTGGTTAGATCGGAACCGGCCATTGGCCGGTTTCGGTTTTGGGCGGTTTTGGTGATCAACCGGTATTCCAATTTTTTTTTAAAAAAAATTGTATATAAATTCCCAAAAATAAGGAATTTGGTTTGTAATGCAGTTTTAATATTCTTTACATTATAGTAAAAATTAAAAATTGTTTTGGTCATTAATACTCACTATTATATTTTCCCATCTTTTTCAAATTTTTTAAAAATACCCCTAGGCACAAATCGATTTGTTAAAATCCATTTTTTTCAGATTTTCAACTTCATTTGAATATGTTTTGTTTTAATTATTCTTTATATGCTTTTCATATTTTAGTAGATTTTTTTTGTGTCTTTTTTATTTGTTTCAACAATTTTTTGACCGCTCGGGACTTGACTGGTTAGAATGGTTGAATCGGCCGGTTTACCGGCTAGGCCAGTTAAACCGCTTCCTGGCCCATGTCCGGTTAACCGTTCCGGTTCAATTTTGTGAACACTGGTTTGAAAAAAAAAGGACCCATTCTATTTTATACCTTGTTCAAATCACTCATTCCTACAAAGAACCGGATTTGATATGAATGATTCCCAATCCAGATAGATGATTGCCTATCCAGATCAGTGATTTTTTCGAAAGTGGTTTTACCCTAACTAGGTCCTAATATCACAAAGTTGTGGCCTTTCAGCATCTGCAGCAAGGCAGTGAAAAGCATGAATAGTATTTATTTTTTATGCATTATAGTTAGGGAAGGGAATCTAATTATTTTAAGCTTGATTATGAACGTAAGTGGGATTCTACATATCTTGGGCTTATCATGTTTAAATTTTTCTGTAGTTTTTCTTGCTTATTTGTCTAATGCCCACACCAGTAGCTACGTATTTGATATTCTGTTTGGAAAATTGGATGCTACCCATTGCAGTTAAATGCAGCATTCCATAGACATTGACATGAGTTTTGGTGTCACAGACACCTGTAGCAGTTTCTACCATGGTGACCCCATAGACTCTGACAATGTTGACACGCCCATACAACAGTAACAAAAAAAGAAAAAGAAAAAATAAAAATTAAAGTAAGAAAGGCGAAGTATTCAATGAGAGCACAGAAGTTTCCTATAATTCTCTCACATCAGCCCAGCCATCTGTTGTTATCTGAGAGTGTGCTGATGTTGAAGACTGTAGGAGCCTTCACTTGTCTCATTGTATACAAACCCTTACCACCTTTTCTTTTTTCCCATCTCGACACATTCTCGACACTTCTGTCAAAGGATCTGATACTTCTAGAAAGTGTTAGCGTCTCTCAATTGTTTATGATGAAGTGTTCACACTTCAATTGTGGACAACTTTTATATTTCCAGCAAAGTTTGTGGCATTTCCAAATATCAAGTGTGGTGCATGTGTCACGGGTAGGCAACCTTTGTTCGAATCGCCTGGGCCTCATGAAGAGTTTATGACACTTCTGTTGTTGATGGCTAAACTCCTGACAGTTGACTTGTATCACACCTTCAAGGAAATGGGCATTTTCAAGGTAACACTGGTTAACTGATGCTCTTCTTTAAGTGCAGAACGTAGCTAGTCACATAAAAAGAAGGTACTCGAGGCTAGAGAGCAGGGTATAACTGCATACAACACATGCAACCAGTTGTGGCACTTCTTTATAACTGTGACATTTGTTATTGGGAAAATATTACATTGAGTCATATGGCACATGGACAGAGTGCTGTATATCACCTAACTGATGGCTAGACTGAATTCTTTTCCCACCTACGTCCACCAAGCTCCACTTGAGTGGAGGAAATGTTCATCTCAACTCTGTTGTTGAATTGACATGGAGCACACTTTTTGTGCGCTGAATGCTTATATACAAACCATTTTCTGTATGTGTTAAAAGTAATTTTTTTGTGGGGCAAATGAAAGGAAAAGTATGATGTTAATTGAGATATGAAAAAGTCAACAAAGGCACGAAAATTTTCAGTGTCTCCCTTCCACAATTCTTGCATCAAAGTAGAATCTTTGATGAATTTGCTTACTATGGGCTGCTGTTTGGGGATGGGAGTAATGTAGAACCCTTGATTTTTACTTCCTTTCTGCATTCTTCCTCTGAGCTTGCTTTTTCCTTATTGGTTATTTTTTACTTCTATTTTGGTTTGCCTTGTTAGAGCTGTTTTCTTATCATATAGGAATCACATTCTGCCAAATTATGAAAAACGTAGGTTTAAACTCACAGTTGATCATGTTGCAAACTTTGTCCTTCGGTAGGTTCAACAGCTGCTTTCTTAATTATGTAGGCATAGCTCTTATTGAAGCTGAACCTGATTTCTAAACTATGTAAACCAAATTTGAGTAGCTGCAGAAACTACTTGCAAAAAACGCCCCACAAGAACACTTGCATTGGTTTGTTGCTCATCTTTGATTGTTGGCTATGAAGAATCATATTTTGACACCATGCGTATGGCATTGAGAGAACAGGATCACGTTTGATGTACATGTTTTGCAATGTTCTGAGATTTCCAGTTTACAATTGCAGGTGGTGCAACTCTAATATTTGAGACAAAGCTTGTATCAGTAAATGGAAAAGGTGCTGTTGCAGACAGTGAATTGTAGTGGAATTTGATTTCAATGGACATTGTTTAAGGTTGGTAAGATTTCCATGCTTTCAATTACTCCTAAGTTTAGGGTACAACTTATCTGTCAAACAAAACATTGAATTTGAGCACTTTGGATATGCAATTTTTTTATGTGCTAGAAATGTTCTAAAACGATCGGAGCAAGAATTCTCGGGTAATTCTCTACGTTGTCCTGATTAAGGCAGGATATTAATAACTAGAGAAGAACTTTGATCAGATTATTTCTTGACAAATCTACCCAGAAAATTTTTGTGAAGAAAAAGCAAGATAACTGTTGTAATCATTAATTGTGATTAATACAGATGTCTGATAGTGTTTCAATTTTTTTTTACAAATTATATTGATTTAAAACATTTTGTAAATGTGTGCGCCTTAGTGAGATTCATATGAATAAAATATAAAACAAATAATTTGAAAGATAAAAATTATGTAAAATATCCTTATAAAGTTTCAAGCGTAATTTTATCATTTTATTTCATGACTATTATTTTTTAAATATTTTATTTTGGTGCGAGTTAGTCATATGTATATACGCCCCAAATTTTAGATAATTTTGATTAGTAAAAAAATTATAAAAATTTAAATACTACCAAAAATTGTAACCGTGTGATGAACTTTGGGCGGTGATGAGGTATATGTGATGTATTGCAGAACTTCACGTATAGGTATTTTGTAGATGCTTATATATATATATATATATATATATATATCGGGTTAGCCCACTAGCTTATATGAACATATGAGCTCAGCGATCCAGATTGAATCGGGGCCGATCTGACGATCTCGGATGTCCGGTAGTGTTTGAATTTTATTTATTTTTTTACAAATCTAAATCACTTAAAATTTGAGGCCTATATTCATAAAAAATAAGTTAATTTTTCAAAAATATCAAAAATATATTTTACGTGAAATAAATTAACCAAAATACCCCCGACAAATTTTGGGATGTATTTTGGTCATTTTGATTTTCGCAGATAATTTTTTTTTTTTTTATTAGGTGCGCCTTGATGAGAAGGCCACACCTAAAATTTTAAGTGATTTGGATTTGTAGAAAAAATAAAATAAAATTTAAGCACTACCGAACATCCGTGATAATCAGATCGGTCTAGATTCAATCTAAGCCGTTGGGTTCATATGTTTATATGAGCTAGTGGGCTCACCCCACTAGCTCATATGAACACGTCCACTAGTTCATATGAACTTATGAGACTAACAGCCTAGATTGACAATTTAAGGTCGTGCAACTAGACTTCTGCTATAGTTTAAGGTCATATAGTTTAGACCAAGGCTATGCAGTTTAGAGTCGCGCAACGCCGACCACGATTGTGCAGTTTAAGGTCATACAGCATGGACCCCTGTTGTGCAATTTAAGGTCATACAGTACGGACCACTGCTGTACAGTTTAAGGTCATGCAGTACAGACTATGGGCTGAGCAGTTTAAGGTGATGTAGCACGGACCACGGCTGTGCAGTTTAAGATCATGCAGCACAGACCATTGTGTGGGTCATCATATAGGTGAAGTTGCATGGGGAATAGAGAGAGTAAAATGTTCATTTAATATAAAAGAGATGCATCACAAGGGAGGCTACAAATAAAAAATAATAATAAAAAAAAAAGAAAAAAGAAAAGAAGCCTTCGATAGAGAGAGGAGAGAGATCCATAAAGAATACATTTAGAGAGATGGTGTGCATGTAGGGAAAGGAGAGAATAAATTTCCTTTTAATAGGAAAAAACAAAGATGAGAGACCATTCGTAGAGAGGGGGGAGAAAGAGACTAAATATGGAAATAATTGTGCAAAAAAGTAGAGATAAAAAATGTAAAAAAAAAAAAAGGGAAAAAAGAAAAAAGTAATGAATAAAGAAAAATCGAGATAGAAATTTTTTTATTTTATTTTTAAGTAGTTATTTATCCAAAAATAATTGTTTCTTGCTAACATACTATAATTTAATTATATTATTTATCTATTATAATTTGTGTTATAAGTTATATTTTTGTCTTTTCTTTTTCAATTTTTTCATTTTCTAGTATATTATTTAACAGCATAATTAAAAATTATTTATATTTATATTAGTAAATATATTATTTAATTATAAATAAATCTTATTCCAAAAGTTGTAGTAGAATATTATTTACTTATATTAGTAATCTATTATTTACTTATAAGTAAATATTATTTAATAAATGATAAAAGCAGATAGTAGATTATATTTTTTCGATGAAATTGTAATTTCCATAAGATATCTTATAAGCATAAAAATAAAAATACTAATAGTGCTAACTATAGAAGGAAAGAAATTGTAATTTCCATAACATATCTTATAAACATAAAAATATGAATACTAATAGTCACTATAGAATTATTGTTAAATATAATGATAATGTCATAATTCTATTTATCGTATTAGCGATTTTTATATTATTGATACCATAATATAATTATTATTAAATTCAGGAATTATTAACATATTTGGTAGCAATTTTATTTACAACAACAAAAAACAAAAAAAAGAAAAATAAAAAAATAATGATAAAGAATAACACAGAAGAAAGTTTTTTCATTTATTAATACAAGGAATACTATACTTTTAAAATTATATCGCTTAATGATATAATTTGCATTTTGTGTAATTTTTAATTTAAAAAAAATTCTAGTCGTGCTGATAAATTACAATTATAATTATATTATTTATCTTGTATAATTTATATTTCCAATTAATTTTCTTTGCTTTCTCTTTTCTTTTTGGAATCCCCAACTATATATTTTACTAAATTAGTTGAAATTATTATATTAGTAAATATATAATTTTCTTATACGTAAATATTATTTGAAAAATTGCAGGAAAAATATTATTAAGTAAATATTAATTTATGTATAAGTAAATATATATTTTTTAAATAAATTCAATAATATATGTTATTTACTTATGAGTAAATAATTTGTTAATTAATAATTCTATTATGGTAGTAGTGTTTTCTTCTTCTTTTTTTTACATATTAGGATTATTTTTTGGAAATTGCAAAAAATTAAAAACCAGAAAATACAAAAAAAAAAGATAAATAAAACATAAATGAATAAATATAGAAGTAGCTTTTTGTATTTACCAATATAATTAATATTGAAATTTTAATTATATTTTTATGATCCTTTCAATCTAATAAACTATAATTATTTTTTTTTGGTAAGTCAGTGGCAGAAAAGGGAAGAATTTGTACCTAATTTTGAGATGCTTTGAGGTAGCCTCTAAGGTTGGAATGAACATGTTAAAACAAAGTTGTATAAGCCCCTAAAGAAGATCTAAGAGGCATAGCAAAATATACAGGGCAAAACTGTTATGCCAACAATAACACTCTCGAAGCTTATCAAGCAATCTCTAATATTTGGATTCTCCGGAATTACCGGGAAGTAGCTTCGAATTACCAATGGATGCACTCAATTGTTCATTGCCTTGGATTTTTGGGAATTTTCACAAATATTTCTTATTTTTTACAGTTCGAGAAAAATATTTGAAATTTTATAGTTTATGCTCATGTCCCTGTTTTTTTAAAAAAAAAATAAATTTTTTTTTTCCATACTAAATCCTGTTCGGAACTCCAAGTTCTTGATGGGGTGTTCGGTTTTTGCCAATGGGATCATTCAATGCCGGATCGACTTTTTCATAAATAAACTAGTTCGACTCTTGAAGTTCCAAGGATTTACATAAAATTTAGTCTGCTTGGAAGTTCAAGTTTTAAACCCGCAAAAGTGTTGAGGGTGGCGCTTGAAGTTTTGAACCTCATTCAAGGGACACCATTCAAAAGGTCACTTTCATGGTGCCACTTGGGACCACAGTGTACAAATGGTCCCTTGAGAACCATTTGTTTTCCAATAGGACAATGACTGAATAGTATCAGCGATTTCGTATACGGCCTGCGAGGACACGAATGCAAGCGAACTTTTGAATATTGTCACTTCAAGGAGTAACATTTTTAGTTGGTCTGGAACATGACTGAATAACCTTTTCTTAAATGAATAAATTGTTCGAAACTTCGAGTTCTAAACCAAGTTATTTATTAAAAGTTGATTCGAACCTTGAAGTTTCGGCGAATTTGTCCACCAGGAAAATAATACTACCGTTTTGGAATTGGGGTTCAAAATTTTGTTTAACACTAGTATCTCTAAAAAAGGGATGCAGCCATGAAACAAAAAATATCAGAGATATTTTTTAAAAATAAGGGATGCTTCTGAAAAATTTCCATAATTTTTTTTACCATAAGTACTTGAGTAAGTAGGTGCCAAATTAAGTAAGCTACTAAGCATCTATTTCCGTTCTGTAACTCATCATTTTTTTCCAAGGGTTACCTTTTTCAAAGGAGTGGGGAAGGATTTTAAGATGCCTCAGCTATGTGGTTGTCAGACCTAGCGGGCTTGCAACAAAGTACTTCCTCCAAATTGAAAATTTGTATTTGGTTTTAATTATGGATGCAATTTCTATAAGGCCTAGGTTTCATGAAAACAAAATAAAGCTTCATCTCGAATCCTCATCTAAAAATTTAGGAAATTCTCCTCTAAATCCCAAAAAAAGCCTAGGTAGACCTTACATAAAATTCTCAAGCTTTTCGCTCTGCCTTAGAAACCCTAGATCTAAAAAAAAACCTTAGATCTACCAATTCAAGCATGTAAAGACATCAAAAAAATGAAATGATGGCACAAATCAGAAAATTTGAACCTATAATTGAAGCAACCCCCACTTTCTTTACTCTTTTAAATTTAACTAAGTTTTGTTAAGATTTGAGCAGATCTAATCCCAGAGGTCAGCGCATATTGAAGCGCAAGTAATTTGTTGAGTCGTTTCCCTGACTTTGCCAATCGATTCTAAGAATCTTCATCAAAGATCATTGATTGCGCGTTTCCCGAAACCTCTCAAATGAGTATGTGCCTAGAGAACTCTCTTCCATAATACATGAATTTCTTCACCCATGGGTTGCGTCCTTTTCATTTCAATGGATGATAGATCAAGTTGCTTTCTACGAAAGGTCAAAGGTCGTCAAACCCACGGTGGGCGCCAAACTGTTTACACTCCGATATACGCCGATCTTTGGGATGATATCTACTCAAATTTTAAGAAACCTTAATTAAATTTTAAAGGGATAGAGAAAGTGTGGTCGCTTGAATTATGGGCTCAAGAATGGCACAAGTCTATTCATATTTGATTCTTGCTTGGGTCCATTAGTAGC